TTTCTCCCCCATAGGAAACAATGGAGCTGTCAAAAGTTGGGCTCCATTGTTTTCCTATGGGGGAGGAAAAAATTCACAAAAAAAGTAACGAAAAGTCAGCAACTGTTTTAAATGCTTGGCTTCGTTAGAGCACCTTCTAAATCATGTGCAAACTTAGTTTGGCTTTGTTCTGAGTCCTCATTATTTTTTTTGTGAATTGTTTCTCCCCCATAGGAAACAATAGAGCTGTCAAAAGTTGGTGGGGGGAAAAATTCAGCAAAAATTAACGAAAAGTCAGATCAAAGCCAAATTAAGTTTGCACACGTTTTAGAAGGTGCACTAGCGATTCCAAGCATTTAAAACATTCTTGAACATTTTAAGACACTTTTAAAATTGAAAAAACATTAAGCGAAACAGGGGACCTAAAAATGCATTCGCTATGCGAAGCATGGTCCCGAAATCGCTAAGCGAAAATCGCCCATAGGAAACATGGTTAAATGATGCATAGAATTCTTTAAAAGAACGATCCTGAAGCGAAAACATTCCTATATGAGGCAATCGTTAAGCGAGGCACCACTGTAATTGCAAGATTTCCTTTGATTGTCACTGGAGCCCTTTAGGTACATTACCCAAACTCTAGTACAAAAGAATGAAGTAATTAATACTGAGCCCATGAATTTGTGTTCACTTTACTTTACTTATTTTACTTTATTAGATGTTTACCCCACCCCACTAGACAAAGTCTACTCGGGGCGGCTTACACACATGATAAATCATCATAATATAATAAAATATCATTAAAAAATCATTTAAAACATTGTAATTTTAACACTTGTTTTAGATCATTGCCAAGATAAAATAATTTAAAAGACAAATTATAAAGATCAGAACCAGAACTGAACAGAACTCAAAACACTCTCTTCCTATTATACTAAACTTTCTTTACTTCAGCAGCATTAATTGGTACAAAGGTGTGGAAGGTGTTTGCTGTTATGTTCAACAAACAGGAGACAAAAACCCTTGCGATCTATTGTAAATAATTCAAAGCTACAAGTAGACCCAAATCTACCTGTGTCTACCCATGTATTACAGAATCTCTGCAGTCATTAAAATAAAACAATTTTAATGTCATTTCATGTCACTCAATCAAGTACAAAATAAATAAAACTCACAACAATCCACATAGATTGACAGAATGAATTATTCCACCAAGTTATTTTTCAAGAAAGCAGTTTTATAAATGTTGTTCAATATAAATGTGGACATTAAAAGGTGCAAAATACATAAACTAAAAAGAGAAGCCAAGTGGTCCACCTCCTAGTTCACAGCTAAGCAAGTGGTGGCTTTTGCAGTTAATGAATGTCACTACCATAGGTAACTTACCTGATTTCTTTTATTTCATTATTTGCTAGCGTTCTCTGAAATGCAAGATATAGCCTTTCATACTGCAAGGAGAGAAGTTCATATCAAGTGAAATGACATTTAATAACTTAATAGTTACATTAGCATCAAAAAAAGGAGTGAATTGATCTTTTGAACAATGGAACCCCAGTGTTTAAAGTGGAGAGCAAACCCATCCAAACCAGAAATGTATACTGTCCTACAGTAGATCAAAATAAGGAGCATTCAAGATGTTCCTTACCCAAATACGTGCACCACAATTTAAGTGGTATAGCTAGCTCCTCACTCTCGCCACAAAGGAGACTGGTGACTTTGATATCTTGGGGGCAATGAACCTACACCAAGCTTTAATCTGAACTTTTTAGGAGCTCTCCAATGTCCTGAAGCTACCCACACTATAAAATTCAGAATCACCAGCCTCCACAGCCTCTCCATCAACCTCTATATGTGAAAAGCAACAAGCCTGAAGAGGAAGTTTCGTACTCATGTTTATGCTCACACCTTTACTGAACTAGATTGGTTTAAATAATCAGTTACCATATTTTATAGTTTACTTCTATGTATAAATATCAGTATAATTTTACTTCATTGTTTATTGATACATACTTATGGTATGCTATTATTGACATATTAAGTTGGTGTATTAATCATATTTTAATACTGCAATGATTTGTTGATTGTGCAATAAAGATTTTTGTCTCTGTGTATGCTTACACCCTTACTGAACCCTCACAGACCTAATAGAAGCAGAAGCAAGTTTGTTGCTTTCCATGTGTACAAAAAGATGATGGAAAGTGGGGGCTAGCTGCTCCCCATTAAACATGATGAATGTATGGAATAACTGGATACTCCTTTCATCTCTAATTAATAATGAACAAAATCCTGTTGCTTAGTGTACTAAATCACACTAGAACTGAGGAGGATTGAGTGAGACATCTCCATATGTTCTATTGATTCAAATGGCCCTGCTCTAACTGCAATGTACTATGGCAAAGTAAGTTGTAGTTAAAATAGGCCAATTTGAATCAATAGAATTTATAGAGAAATTGATCCATCAAATCCCCATTGATTCAATGGGCCTTCTCTAGCATGATTTACTACACCAGGCTACAGGATTTCAGCCAATATCTCTGCTCTGACTATATTGTATGATTGATGTTTTCTAGGTCAGGGTTCTATATGAAATAGGCAACAACTGCGTATCAATCAGGAATTCTATATCAACATTATATACAATTTTGGAACATCATTGTTATGGAAATCTACATGATTGGTGTAACTCACACAGTCTGTCAGTTACAGATGATACTGTTCCAATTACTCTGCAGAAATGTTTGAACAATATCATACATGCATACCAGACGTAATGCACTGCTATCTATCAGATAGACCCCGTTACCCTCAATGTAACAGCTCCTTATGCCATTTCTATTTGTAATCCTCCACAATATCCTTTGGGTTACACACAACACAGAATGTTGATCAACTCTTTGCCGTATCTATGTGAGAATGCCAAAATCATTGAGTAAGAGATGGATCTGTTGTAAGCCATTTAGTCCAAACACCTGTTTGGTGCAGAAAATCCAGAGCAACAATATCCCTAACAGATGGCTGTCTAGACTCCTAATGAAAAAGTCTACATTTCAGCAGACTTCAAAAACAGGGGTGATAATACCTTCATTAGACCTCTAAGATACCATAAACAAGAATGATTTCAACTCCTTCAAGACTCTTTACCAAGTGGTTGCTGGAGAAGTTGAAGGAGGGGAGGAATGCAAAAATCATCCTGACTTAATATTTATTTATTTTATTTATTTATTTTATTTATATCCCGCCTATCTGGTCGGTTAAGACCACTCTAGGCGGCTAGAGGTTAATTAAGTTCTGGTTCCAAGATGGGAAGTGCAGACTTAAATGCTGTATTATATGAAATTTACACTTTGAGCAGAAGGTACAGGATTGTCTTATTTAATTATTTCACTGTATAACCTTGGACACTTACATACTGCTCAGGAAGTGTTGGACAGCTTAGAGGCTTAGGTATCTGGCTGTGGAGCCAGAAGATAGAGTTCAATTCCCTACTGTGCCTCCTTGACAGGAGCTGGACTTGATGGTCCATAGGGTCCCTTCCAGCTCTGCACTTCTAAGACTATTATTATCTCATGCCAACTTCACTGTATGTGATACAAACACTGGTAAATGAGGCAGGACAGGAAGTTATTCTACCTTTAGAAAGAACTGCATTCTTGATGTATGATGTGTTTTGTATTTTAAGTAAAAGAACTGAACTAATGTTCCACCTTATTAAATAATATTTATATCTAAATAGAAACAATATGTGAAGGACTCTTCAACTCCTTACTTGACTCTACAATGACTTTTTTTAAAGAACCAAATGAATTAATAAGGAAACAAAGCCCCACATGCTTTCACTGGTATCTTGAATTTCATCAAATACTATTTTGGGCCACACAGCACAATCCCATGATCCTTCCTCTCTCTGACGTCAATGGAAGCAGCATACGCTGATGCAGAGCATGATAGTGACCTTCTCTGTTTTGGAGCTTTCCATGTTTTCCATGCAGGATAATGCAAGTTGATGCTGACAATTAGCCAGTAGGAAGAGATATTAACTTTTAACCAGAGCCATCTAAGGAGTTGGGTGCAAATAGGTGACCGTTTTTTCCACATATGGCATAATTTGTTCCCATGGAAGAATTTGCAGTTTTGCAAATAATGTTGGAACCTTTTCTCAGCTGCTATAGCTTATATGCCTTATTCTATAAGTTTATCTGAACTCCAGCATTTTCATATGCCTTTATAAAGGCCATCAATTATTTTGAAAATAATTGTGTGCTGTCAAGTCAATTCTGATATATGGTGATCCACTTTAGGATTTCATAGGTAGAAAGTACTCAGTAGTAGTTTACCATTCCCTTCTTCTGGGGTTATCCTGGGATAACTTGCCCAAAGCCACATTGGTAGGCTGGGATGCACAGTGGGTAACCGAACAATTTGGGTCCGAGCTGTCTCAAGAACACCATCTCCCTTTATGAGCCTGCCCGGATGTTCAGCTGATCAGGGGAAGCCTTTCTCTTGGTCCAAGTAACCCTCACAGATGCATTTGGTGGGGACCTGGGAGAGGGCCTTTTCCGTTTTTGTTCCCAAGGTCTAGACCTCCCTTCTCAGGAGGCCAGGCTGACCCCATCTTTGCTGTTGTTCTACAAGCAGACAAAGACTTTCCCCTTCAGGCAGGCTTTCCCTTAGTAACTGGCCTTTTGAGAAGGTTTTTTGTTTAAACAGATTGTTGTGTCTTGTTGCTTTCAAGTGTTTTTAGTGTTGATTTCATTTACCATTTTTAATGTAATATTTTAAAAATTCTTTTTAACTATCTGCACCTTTACTCTCTTTTTTTGCTTTTAATTGTTGCCTTTTTAATTATGTAAGCTATCTTGGTGTTTAAGGAGAAAGGAAGGGTAAAAACATTTTAAATAAATAGAAAAACTCCTGACCTCTGACTCCACAGCCAGAAACCTAAATAACTGAGCTATCCAACCTATCTTCAATTACTTTAGAGCACTGTAAAGAATTTTATTTTCTGTTTAGATATGAGGGAATTGAAAGTCTACAACTTAGCTGATTGTGTAAGATCCAAGTCAACGCAGATCCTTCTTCAACTTTCTATAGGCCTAATGATTCTGTTAAGAAGAACTTGGTACTTGTATTCACTCATGGGGTTCTAAATACCACATTAACTGACAGAAACTTTGGAAAGCATCTTCACTATTTCTGTAAGAGAGGTCTGATAATCATCAACATGATCCATACTGCCCCTCTTAAATGCTGCTTTGATTCGACTACAATGTATTTCTCTGCCTTTCTTTTGGTTAAATTACCAGACTTTGTAAACTTTGTTAAAGAGCTGCTAAATCACTAAGTGAGTCAACATCATATCTGGGATAGTTTTATCACCCTTAATATCCTTTTATTGAATGCAGAAGACAAAGTGAATTAAGATTAAATGAATGGAGATTTTAGGCAACAGAATTAGACATAAATGCAACTGAACACAGAAAATGCTTTCAAGAAAGGAGACTTTAAAGTATGGAGATGATTCATCAAGTGTTCTTCCTAGCTTTTTCTTCAAGGCCATAATTTTGGAACAAAAGCTGGAGAACTGTTGCCCTGCCCAGATATCTGAACTACAGCTCCAACAAGCCATACAATTAACGATACTGGCCAGAACTTCCACAAACCAAAGTTCAAAACATGTGCAAAGCCAAAGATTCCCTGTTCTTGCTTCAAAAGATTGTTTCTAATTAACTTTTGAATGACTTTGATAGAAGCATAAGAATTACCTCTGGAGAAATCAGTTTGCAGATACTCTCAGCCAAAGTATGCAGAGACACTCTGCTCCTACTAGTTTTCCTCTGTGGGTTGTTCCCGTGAGTATCCTTCTCTTTGCAGATTGGCAAAGGAGCCTTTGAGTTGTTTGGTAATTCGGTGCATTCCACCTCACTTTCATCAGAAATGCCACTTTGGCTCAGTAAGGAGAAAGGACACTCGCCAGTGATCTTCAGGTCTTTCAGTTTAGTACAGAACATACTGTATAACTCCTTTATTCATCAATGTTGTATCTTTACTTTGTGATTATCATGTCTGCTCTATCAGAAGAAAGCATCTAATGGCAGGTACAGCCGTGAGACATTATTAGTAATTTCAAAATCAGCTACATGAACAGTTGTTGCTATATATACCTGTAAAAGAAGAAGACGAAAGAAAGAACTGAAGGGAAGCAGAAGGCACTGTACTATATACTCTTTAATTTGGTTTAACTTCTTAAGAGCAAGCTTATTGAAGTAGACTGTGATCTTGTGGAGTATAGTCATAACTGTGTGTATGTTCTGTGCTGTCAACTCAGAACCAACTTATAGTGACCCTAATAGGGCTTTCAAGGTAAGTGGAATATTTAAGGAGTGGCTTTACAGTTCCACTCCCCCAGTGAGTTTCTATGGCCAAGCAGGGATTCAAACCCTGTTCTAGTCCTAGTTCATCACTCTAAACCACACTGAGAATCTCAGAACATCATAGGTAGCCTAGACTCAACTACTACCTTCAGATATCATGCCAAATAAAAGTTTTGCATGATAAGAAGACAGTAAGTAAGCCTTTTCACATTCTCCTATTTTGGTAAGGTCATGATGAAGGAGATCAGAGGCCTTTGCTTTCATTTTTCACTAACCACAGTTTTACACTGCATCTAAACCCTAAACTATGGTTGATGTTAACTATAGTGATATCAGATGTTCCCAAGGATACAACTTTAAACTAATACACATGGACTCTTGTCCTCAGATCTGATCATGCATAGATACCCAAAGTGCCCCTTCATACTGTTGTCTCCAAAAACTTGGGCCCTTTTTCAACCTTCACTCTGAGGAAGATGTTTATTAAAGCCCTTGTTAAAACTCAAGACTCTTAGGCAACACTATTTCCATAGGTTTCTAAACCACAAATCTTTTAAAAGATTTTTCTTCCTTTCTCTTTTCCTCTCTTGTTTGAACTGCAGCCAAGCAGCCAACATGGAAGCTTATGTGATAATTGATACTAGAAAATAAGAATATGTTTAATGCATAAAGTGTTTTTTATTTTTATAAAAGATTAAATCAAAAAGGGCTGGAATGGCAATTAATAAAGACAGGACAAACATCTTTCATAACAGCCTTTTATCTAACCTAATCCTAAACATAACTTTTGAACCAATATCCAAACATATCTAATTCTAACTCTCTCTCTCTTTCTCTCTCTCCAATCAGACTCTCTCTATCCCACTCTTCTGTCTCTCATTCCACCTCTCCAAAACACTCAACAGATCTCGTACACACTGTATCTGTCCACTCCCCCTTGGGGCTGAGGAAAAGAGCCAATGAAAACAAGGATCTGAAGAGGCATTTCCCCACCACCACCATCCATAACAATCCTATCTTTCACTCATCAAGTATGAACTTGTCACTCAACCCATTTATTCCATCAAGCAAACAGCCAATCTACCTACACACTCATGATAAACATTGGGGGTTGAAATAATCACATATGGCCTGCTTCCAGCAAACCACAATTCTAGTTAACCACAATTTCTGACATTTAGATACACTAGAATTAACCTAAACTGGAAGCAAATTCCTTATTTTGACCATGCTAGAATAGAAAACTCCCAGTGTGGTTTAGTGGATAGAGTGATGCACTAGGACTCTAAGGTTCCCCTTGACATTTTTAGTCCAGTCATGTCCGACTCTAGGGGGCGGCGCTCATCCCATTTTCAAGCTGTAGAGCCAGTGCTTTTCCAAAGACAGTTTCCATTGTCACATAACCAGCTTGACTAGGGAATGCCGTTTTACCTTCCCACCGAGATGGTACCTATTTATCTACTCGCATTTACATGCTTTCGAACTGCTAGGTTGGCAAGGAGCTGGGACAAAGCGATGGGAGCTCACTCCCTTGCGTGGATTCGATCTTACGACTGCTGGTCTTCTGACCCTGCAGCACAGGCTTCCGCGGTTTAGCCCACAGCACCACCCCAGAGTTCAAATCCCCACTTGGCCATGGAAACTCATTGAGAAAACAGAACTGGTAAAACCACTCCTTAAATATCTCACTTGCCTTGAAAGCCCTATTAGGGCTGCTATAAGTCAGTTCCAACTTGATATCACAGAACACACAGAGAATTAGTCCATCCCAGCAGCAGCAGCAGCAGCAACAACAACAACAACAACATAACATTTTGTTTTCATCAGTGTAATAACAGCCTATAAAATCATACACACAAGCTAAGTCCTTATTTTTCTTTCACATATTTAGGTAGCAAGTTATAGTCTCTTAACATATGATACAAAGACCAAGAATTAATATGGGGCTGGGGAACATGTGGCCCTCCATATGTTGTTGGACTGTTAGGGTTAGGGCTGATGTTGTTACAGTCCAACAACCTGTGGATGTCCATACACTGCTGATACAAGTAGCTGGCAACTTGGGTCCTCCATTGTTATCATTTTGCAATCAACTGACTGTATCAAACTTGGATAAATCTTTGCCAAATTTCTCTTTATTTAAGTTATCATGCAGTAATATCTTTGAAACAAAATAAATCAGGGACTCCTGCCTCAAAAACAATAATTTTCTAGTTTTTTATATAATCATCATCTCATAACAAAAGGGTCTTACTCAGTTTACTCATTCTGCAACCTGTGCAAAAGCTTTAAGGTACACTATATGCATAGATTTCTGTAAGACATGCACATGGTCATTGATATATGCAAACTGACTGGTTTTGTTTAAAGTGTGTTCTATCTTAGATGTAAGTACGAACCATTCAGTGCTGAACATGTTCTTTTTTGCAAAGGAGATTAGCATAATTATTCATTTGCATCATCATTTTGTCTCCCAACCAACATTGTTACATTATTTACAAAGCTAAAGCACAGCCAACACTCTTGGCAAAAAAATCTACACACAAATAATCATATCAGATGCTTAAAAATAAACACACATTGAAAAATATTGAGATGGCATAAACAATCCTAACTAACTTTACACACCACCAAGAAATAGGGAGTATGTACTACATGACCTCATTATTTTGTGCAAGATAACATTTTGTGCAACTGCATGAGAGGGACAGAGAACAAAATACAGTGGTGCCTCACACAACGATGTTAATTGGTTCCAAAAAAATCAACGTTGTGTGAAACATCGTTCTGTGAAACACCATTTCCCATAGGAATGAATTGAAAACTGGTTAATCCGTTCCAATTGGAACAGATTGCCATCGTTCAGTTTTACACACCACCAAGAAATAGGGAGTATGTACTACATGATCTCATTATTTTGTGCAAGATAACATTTTGTGCAACTGCATGAGAGGGACAGAGAACAAAATACTATGGATTAGTTGGATTAAGATAAAAATGAACAAATTGAAACATAATGTATATCCAGCACACCTCTAGTATCAACCTATTCGCTGCCAAACACTTCTCCTGATTTTAACACTTAACATCCTATGTTTAAACTCAGAACAATATAGTATGTGATGTGAAATACAATGAACACAGAAATACTGAAGTATAGAAATATTCTGAGCAATCACTTCTACCATGCTGGGACCCTTTATAATCAACACTGTAGGGATCCAGTTTTGATCTGCCACAAGTACAATAGGCAAAATGTAAGTAAAGCAGAGTTATGACAAACGTGCTATTACCTTAATTTCATCCAGATGGAACTGAATCTCTATGGAGTACCAAACTACCTTGCTCCTTGAGAGTGAACACCCATATGAACATGCATTGTTTATATGTCACAGAAAACAAAGTTAGTTGGTATACTGTGACTGCTACCTCAAAAAAGTTCTTAAAGGGTTACTTTTAGTTGCCAAGTAACAGAGAGATATTTCTGGAACAATGAGACAGAATGAAACATGTCAAATCTGTCTGGGCAATAAGTACTACAAAAATAGTTCTGAGGCCAAGACAGGTTTATTATTAAGATGTGCACAAGAAAGGGTGTTTATTGAGCATTCTTTGCCACATCTACAGGAGACCTGCAGCTATTAAAATCCATGCCAGATTATTTCAACTGCATGCGGCTTGCATCTGTAGATCATCAGAGAAAACACAAGATTTCCTTTGTGGGAAAATTATCTATAACTGTCACCTTAGTAGCTCGTATATCTGCATTCTGCATATTTGGTTTTTCATTTTGTTATGAAGACCTCTCTTGGTGGTTGAGATAAGCAATCGTGATGAAGAGACATAGCACATGGAAATGGCAGAAGATGGAAGAGATGCAACATTAATTAACTTTCCGTTTTTCTACATCTCTGCAGAATCTACATGCTGGCAGATCTACAGAATCAGATACTCTGTACCTATTTAACAGCTTACATTGAAAGTACATGTGAAATATTTTCAAAGGAAAATACATGATCTGAAGCATTAGCACTGTTGGATAATCAATATTTTTTTACCCCTCTGTAGGAAAAGCAGTTGCTATGAAGAAAAACAAAGTTACTGACCAAGGCTAGTAGAATAGCTCTTCGAGCATTATTAAGGAAAGACATTCTTACACTGTCACATCAGAAAACACCCAAAGAAAAAAAATTAATTTGTAAACACGGTGCAACAAGTTAACAAAACTATGAAAGAGAGGTGTGTAGTATACCAATACAGTAGCTTCAAGTAACACAAGAGGCCCTGAATTAATATTTTGCAAGCAAGTAACCCTGCTGGCTCATGGATTCTGGAAACTGTAGTCAAACAAAACAAAACTTCCCAGCTCCATGCAAGTCTGAACCCACTAGAAAGGACTCAAAAATAATGAACTCACAAGAACTATACATGTCACGGCTGTATTTTCTACTCCTTTATCTCTATTCAGATATTCTAGAATTCAACATTTTGAACATGAAGGAGGGGGGAGGTGTCCAGCCCTGCTACTTATCATGAGATTTTCACAGAGGTTTTAAAGAGACAGTCTTGCTCTCATTTAGGTCAGAATGAACCCAGGTTTTCCAATGCTGTTTCTTACAAGAAGATCGAACATGCAAGTAGGAATTTCTCTTCAGAATCAGCAGTAATCACATGAAGGAAGTAACAAGAGAAAGGTAAGGGCATGTGCTTCCCTCTAGGCATGTCCAATCTGACTGTTTCTGTAACAGCTAAACCAGCTTTTGCATCTTTGTGCTCTTAATTCATACTAT